TAAGTTTTTGGTCAAAAAATATCATTTTTCGTGGTTTTTCAGTCGTAGTTTAGTCAAATCAAGGCGTACAGCTAAAATACCGACCGTTTTGAGCAGCTTGCTACAAATGCTATCGATCCCTATCACTTTAAGGAACATTTATTTTTTGACTCATTTTCGCATTTTTTATAAGGGGCTACATCGGATTTTTTTGGGACTTCGATTTTGGGACAAAAAACTCATTTTTTCGAGGTTTTTCAGTCGTAGTTTAGTCAAATCAAGGCGTACAGCTAAAAGACCGACTGTTTTGAGCAGCTTGCTACAAATGCTATCGATTCCCGTCACTTTAAGGAACATTTATTTTTTGACCCATTTTCACATTTTTTATAAGGGGCTACATCGGATTTTTTTGGGACTCCGATTTTGGGACAAAAACCTCATTTTTTCGAGGTTTTTCAGTCGTAGTTTAGTCAAATCAAGGCGTACAGCTAAAAGATCGACTGTTTTGAGCAGCTTGCTACAAATGCTATCGATCCCCATCACTTTAAGAAACATTTATTTTTTGACCCATTTTCGCAATTTTGACGATTGACAAGAAAACGAATTACAAGCTGAGCGAACGAAACTTAAATGTCCGTTCTGGACTATGTGGAGGATTGAAATGCCATTGAATGTTTCGACGAGTAAGTTCAGGAACTACTGTCTCTTCAATTCCTTTATAGAATTCATTGGTCCACAGCTTTAGAGACTTGTCGGATGAGATAAAGTTGGTTCCACAGTCGCTGTATAGATGTTGACAAAGATCAAAAAAGAAGACCTGTTATCCTTTTAACCTGTTAAGTAATTAATTGAAGTTTTTTTTTTAATAAAATTTATTAATTTCGTAATTAAGCATACAGCTGAGATCAAAAAAGAAGACCTGTTAACCTTTTAATCTTTTAAGTAATTAATTGAAGTTTTTTTTTTAATAAAATTTATTAATTTCGTAATTAAGCATACAGCTGAGATCAAAAAAGAAGACCTGTTAACCTTTTAATCTTTTAAGTAATTAATTGAAGTTTTTTTTTTAATAAAATTTATTAATTTCGTAATTAAGCATACAGCTGAGATCAAAAAAGAAGACCTGTTATCCTTTTAACCTGTTAAGTAATTAATTGAAGTTTTTTTTTTAATAAAATTTATTAATTTCGTAATTAAGCATACAGCTGAGATCAAAAAAGAAGACCTGTTAACCTTTTAACCTGTTAAGTAATTAATTGAAGTTTTTTTTTTAATAAAATTTATTAATTTCGTAATTAAGCATACAGCTGAGATCAAAAAAGAAGACCTGTTAACCTTTTAATCTTTTAAGTAATTAATTGAAGTTTTTTTTTTAATAAAATTTATTAATTTCGTAATTAATTATAAATTGAAAGGCCTTACATTTTAGCGATTGTATATCAGGGGACCAGTTCGCATACAGCTTTTAAAATTGTTGCGAACAATTGTCAATGTCGAGAGAAAAATTGAGTACCATACTTATTAGAAAATATTAGAAAAATAAGAATTTCAAAGAAGATCCAAAAAAGAAAAATATAAATTGAAAGGCCTTACATTTTAGCGATTGTATATCAGGGGACCAGTTCGCATACAGCTTTTAAAATTGTTGCGAACAATTGTCACTGTCGAGAGAAAAATTGAGTACTATACGTATTAGAAAATATTAGAAAAATAAGAATTTCAAAGAAGGTCCAAAAAAGAAAAATATAAATTGAAAGGCCGTTCTCCTGTGTAGCAAAAATATTTGATGGGTGAGGAAAATAAATGAAGTGCTTAAGAGACTTGTTCAGACTGAGTCAAATCAAGACTGGAGTCCTGTAAAAACGATATGACCGTTTTCTGCCACGCTCGAAATCCGTCCATTTTCGATTAATACTAGTTAAAACCGCTATCGGGACTGCAAATATGAAAAAATATACCAAAAATATATGTAGTAACACAGGAACACAAAATACAGGTTCCGCGATGTAGCTAGGAATACAAAAACTGATGTTTGCCCACATGTTGAATTATGTGGCCAATATATTTAAGCTTATCTTAAATATTTTCGCTGATACACACTCAATACATAACGGCATTGCTAAAAAGTAGTCCCTATCTTGAACCATAGCCACCGTATTTGGAATTTGACAACGATGTTAAATTCCTTAATTTTTCATGATTTCTCTGATGGAATTTCAGCCAAATCAAGGCGTACGGTCCCCGTCACGTTAAGGAACATTCTTTTTTTACCCATTTTCGCATTTTTTATAAGGGGGTACATCGGTTTTTTTTTGGGATTAAGTTTTTTGGTCAAAAAAGGCGAACATTTATTTTTTGACCCATTTTCGCATTTTTTATAAGGGGGTACATCGGTTTTTTTTAGATTTAGATTTTGGTCAAAAATACTCATTTTTTCGTGGTTTTTCAGTCGTAGTTTAGTCAAAACAAGGTGTACAGCTAAAAGACCGACTGTTTTGAGCAGCTTGCTATAAATGCTATCGGTCCCCGTCACGTTAAGGAACATTATTTTTTTACCCATTTTCGAATTTTTTTATAAGGGGGCACATCGGTTTTTTTTTGGGATTAAGTTTTTGGTCAAAAAATATCATTTTTCGTGGTTTTTCAGTCGTAGTTTAGTCAAATCAAGGCGTACAGCTAAAATACCGACCGTTTTGAGCAGCTTGCTACAAATGCTATCGATCCCTATCACTTTAAGGAACATTTATTTTTTGACCCATTTTCGCATTTTTTATAAGGGGCTACATCGGATTTTTTTGGGACTTCGATTTTGGGACAAAAAACTCATTTTTTCGAGGTTTTTCAGTCGTAGTTTAGTCAAATCAAGGCGTACAGCTAAAAGACCGACTGTTTTGAGCAGCTTGCTACAAATGCTATCGATTCCCGTCACTTTAAGGAACATTTATTTTTTGACCCATTTTCACATTTTTTATAAGGGGCTACATCGGATTTTTTTGGGACTCCGATTTTGGGACAAAAACCTCATTTTTTCGAGGTTTTTCAGTCGTAGTTTAGTCAAATCAAGGCGTACAGCTAAAAGACCGACTGTTTTGAGCAGCTTGCTACAAATGCTATCGATCCCCATCACCTTAAGAAACATTTATTTTTTGACCCATTTTCGCAATTTTTATAGGGGGTACATCAGTTTTTTTTGGAATTCAGAGTTTGGTCAAAAATACTCATTTTTTAGTGGTTTTTCAGTCGTAGTTCAGCCAAATCAAGGCGTACAGCTAAAAGACCGAATGTTTTGAGCAGGTTGCTACAAATGCTATCGATCCTCATCACTTTAAGGAACATATATTTTTTTAACAAACTAACCTGCAACCCTGAAATGATTTTGGCTAATCAAGTTGGCCTTAGCAAACTGCCATGACATTTAAAGGCATTTGAAAATTATTCCCTTTGACGATTGACAAGAAAACGAATTACAAGCTGAGCGAACGAAACTTAAATGTCCGTTCTGCTCTGGAGTTCGTGGACAGTCTGCTTAAGGACCTTCGATGGCGTCATCCTGAACCTGGCTTATAGTGAGTTCAAACCCGTAGTTAAAGGCAATGATTTTGTGAGTTATTTTCTTCAGCCTTGGCAAGGGACAAACTGGTGAAGGCCAAAAGATTCGCCACGCTGGCGAACTGTTCCAACGTAAGGGTCAAGGATCTGGAGATGGGGCAGCTGAAGCGAACCGACGAGCTGATAGGGAGTCCCCGCCAGCAGGCGAAGAAGATCCTGACTCCTGGGACTAATGCTGCCCACCTGGTGTCGCAAGGTCACTGAGCAGGCTCAACCGTATCTGAGGATCGAAGTGCCATCCGATCCGGTGGCACCTGTTGCTGCCGTTCCGGGTCCCAACAACTCCAGCTCCAGATCGACATCACCCATGTGATCTTCGCTTCCGACCTCGCGATCACGCTCTGCATTTCGTTCCTCATCTAGAGATCTCTACCATCCGATTGGTGAGGTCCTCGATCCCTCGACCCACCGTTCGACCTTCAGGGTTCATTTTTTTAACTCCTGGTTCTGCCAGCGACAGACCTTTGATTATAGGCTATAGGTTATACCCTTTAACCAAAGGTCTTCCGCTGGCAGTCCCAGGTGTAGAAAAATGTGTCTTGCATGTTTAACGGTGGGTCGAGGGATTGGGGACCTCAGCGGCCGGATGGTAGGGGATCTTTTGGTCAAGTAACGAAACGCAAAGCGTTCTTCTACTTCCGCTGCTGGTCCTCCAGGAGACTATCTTCCGGTCTTTAAAAAACCACGTATCCAGAAAAAGAAGTACCAAGAATGGGTAGACTATGAAAGAAACCTTAATTTACATCTAAACTATGATATTTTCTGGATGTAATAAAGAAATCAATGTATTTATTAGCTAATCGAAAGTCCGTTTTTTCATGTCATGATTGCTTCTTTAGAAATATAGCTATATCTAATATATGGAGAAGCAAATTTGTATTTACTTTACTCTAGAGTAAAAGGGCATATTGTAATCAGAAAAAGTATGTAACAGGTAAAAGGAAGCGTTTCCGACCCTATAGAGCATCAAAGAAAAACACCTCTTAACAAGGTAAAAGAATAGTGACAACTTACAAAATATCTGATATCAACAAAAATGATTTCACAAGCCACAAAATAAATACACTATCTAAAATTAAGTAACTAGAACTAAGGCTTCTTATATCGAGCTGTTTAAAACTTGTAAATGTTTCCAGGACTTTAAAATGAGTTCGCCATTGCTAACCTTCAACAGGTGCGCTACTGTTAACTGGAGTACGCAAACATACCCCACTTGTGCTTATAAAATTGAGCAAAAAAGCTGCTTAACAAAAATATTTGCTTTAAAACCCATTCTTCTCAATTCTTGTTTGCAATTAACGTTTCTTCACAAATGATTAAACAAGTAAAACAGGTGATAATATCTTCTTGTTATCCAATAATGCCAATAAATAGACATTCCTTTAGAAAATTCAAAAACCTTAAGGACTTGCTTATGTTTTCCAATTGATATTTATTTGTATTGTGTCGACAAATTTTCCTAAGAATGACTTAAAAGTAGCCTACTGACCACAAAATTATGTTAGAATTGGAAGTAAAGTTGACTAAATGGCTTCTTTCGTGCACACAGTCCTGGTGCCCCATTAGTGTAAATACTAAAAACATAAAAAAAGGGAACCAAACTCAACTAAGGAGGACGAAACTTGAACACAGCGGGGGAACACTAAGAATGACGTCGATTCCAGCTAGCGCACGTTGTCTTTTGGGTGTTGTTGATATATTGTTTAAATGCGGGCTCCTCACAGAGGTTTATGCTGATATTTTGAAGAGAAATCATTACGATTACAATTAGTTTGGCGGGCGATTTTTGTTCATTTGACTGCTGCTGATCCCCTGCGATCCCGTTGACGACTTAGAGCTCGTCGTGTCCAAGGAACTTCTTCAGGTAGGCCTGCAGCTCCGGCAGCGAGCGACTGCCCTCGTACTCGTTCTGGCGCTGGCCGTTCTTGTAAAGGAAGAGCGTGGGATATCCCTCGACCTGCTGGTCAATGCACACCTGCTTGTTCTCCGGCGCCGTGCAGTCCACCTTGGCGATCCTCACGGCACTCTGCGCCTGGTGCGCCTCCGTGGCCAGCTGCTCCCAGGTGGGCTGCAGCTTCTGGCAGTGTCCACACCACGGAGCATAGAACTTAATGAAGGCCACACCTTCGGCAATGGCCTCGTCAAACTCGGCCTCGCCGCTGATCTGTTGGGGCGTCAGTTTCTTGGCTGCCTCCTCCTCGGCGGCAACCTCTTTGATGGCCTCCTCCCCATCGTCGGCCTTGCCTTCGGTCTTCTCCAGCGGCACGCCCACCATCTTCTCCACATAAGACTTCAGCGTGGACAGGTCACGGGCACCCGCATACTTTTCAATCTTCTTGCCATCCTCAATCCACAGAAGAGTGGGGTAGCCCTTGACCTCGAAGTCCTGGCAGATGGAACGGAACTGTGTGCAATCGATCTTCGAGATGGTCACGGCGGGCTCCTTTACCAGCTCCTTGGCCAGCTCCTCCCAAGTGGGCGCCAGACGCTGCAAGTAAAGGATGGGAAGTTTAGGATGTTGAGTGAGGAAGTATAATGCTTTGCTTACCTGACAATGACTGCACCAGGGTGCGAAGAACTTGACAAAGTGATTGCCGCTGGACACGTGCTTGGCAAAGGTGTCCTCGGTGAGGTCCACCACCTTGCCAAGATTGGGGTTCTCGACGTCCTCGCGCTTGGCCTCACCCAGATCCGCCTCGGCGGGCGTGCTCAGTTCCTGGTTGATAAAATCGGTAATGGCGGGCAAATCCCGAGTGCCCTTGAACTTGACCGACTCCTGTTCGCCCACCTTGAAGAGGCGCAGCGTGGGATAACCTGTGACCTGGTGGGTGGCGCACAGAGCCTGGTGCTTGGTGCAGTCCACCTTGGCGATGATCACCTTGGGCTCATCCACGTTCATGATCTCGGCGAGCTGTTCCCACAGCGGCTGAAGACGCTTGCAGTGGCCGCACCTGCAAGGAGATTGGTCATTAAAGTTTATTTATATTAAATTTCCGAGATAAAATGTTGGTATGCTTATGATATTTGTTAAGTTACTTAGCAATTTATATAAAGCTTACTTAAAATTGAAATCTATAAGCTTAGTTAAATCGGGAAAGCATAGAAAAAATATAAGAACTGTGGAATTGGAGATAGTGGAACAGCTTATCAGAAAATAAAAGCTTATCTCCAGCAATACCAAATCTCTGTATTACTCATATTTACGAAATCTTATTGAATTCCTTGATATAAACACTACGATTAAATTGATTTTGAAATTAAATAGCCTACAAATCGGTCAAATCAAAAGTTCTCCATACACAAAGGAAGACAAAACAATGAACCGCGATAAGACTGAGCGCTTTGTCCCGAACAAAGAGTTTATCATCTGCTGCTAATGCCGAATCGCATTTCGAGCTTACTCAAACTGCCCCCGTCTAATCGTAGAACACTTCCTAGCAACATAATTGAACCTAATCAAATTAGCTCATAGACACTGCGATGGCTTTTGATAAGACGTGAGAGCCGGCTGCTACGAAAACTATAGTAGTGCCGAAATCTCGAGTATTTAGTGTGTCAATCAAGGGGCATGGCAAGGGGGTTCTCGAACAAAGCCCCTTTGATCGTCTTATCGCCGAACGTGCGATTTGTTTCCAAGACATGACGAATCTTCAGTTCTACGGATCTTTGACTTCTTGACCAAATTGGGAGTCACAAACGCATGTCATTCAAGATCTTCAGGTATTTTTTGCAAATATAAATACACAAAATAGCCGGCCATATACGTATAGTAAGTCTATGTCTGCGTATTAACATAAAGATGTGTTCCGGTTTCCCTATATACGATTCTATTTCACCAGGTTTTTGGACATACTGCTTATAATGTTAAAAATGAGAATGATTTTATGTGTTATTATCAAAGAAATGTTTAACTACTTCTACTAGCTTTTACTAAGTGCCATGGTTTAGGAACCATTTGATTATAAATAAAAGTAAGCATGAATTGCAACAAATAGCTAAAAATCGAATTTGCAAAAATAGGAGAAAGTGAAAACCGAAACACCACTCATAATTATGTGTGCGTGGCTCGGTCACATAAAACAAACGACCTATGTGGACCGCTGCGATTCGCCGGCAAAAGTTGGCCAATTTGGGACGCACTTTTCCTTGTTGGGGCAGGGGGGGGTAGGGGACCTGAAACGAATTGCAACTCACCAGGGCGCAAAGAACTTGACGAAGACATTCCCGTTGGCAATCGCCGGATCGAAGGTTTCCGGGTCCAGTTCCACGGCGAACTGCTTTTCCGCCTGCTTGCCGGCGGAGGCGGAGGAGTCCTCCTCTTGGGCCGCACGGGCGGCGGGCAGGAGGGGTGATAGCAGCAGGCCGCACACCGCCACGGAGAAAATGGACCTGGCCAACATGATGCAGAAAACGCTTTGAGAGATCTAAAATTTATATTCTAAGTCTCCGGATACTAGAGGTGGGGAAGGCTCGATGGAATCATCGATAGACCGATGTTTTCAAAACTTTTGGAATCATCGATGTTTTATGGCGACTATCGATGTTTCCACAGACCTAAAATATTAAAATTCAATGTTTTTATAACAGAAATGTTAAGTTCAATGTAAATATTTAATAAAATAAGAAGATTAAGGGAAATATAATATCATACATAGTAAATTTCTTTAAAAACTGTAGCAGCAGCACACAAATCTCTTACAAACCGTGTAATAACGGCGTTTGAACCATTATTCTGTTTAGTACCATAAATAATGTATTATAGAAATTATGCAAATGGAGAACCATGAACATTTAAATATTCTCGTTCAAAAATCTAGTTTTCAGCAGTCTGGGACCCTTTAACCAGTTGATATGGCAACGCTGTACAAGCACTAGTTACTTGGGTGTATTGGTGCGTGAACAGGGAAAATGGCAAATCACAAAAACGAACGAATCGCACACACAGAGACGTAGTTAATTTGGGAGGGGGCTGTGCGAAAAAGTTGCTTGTATACCGAATGATTAATACATACGCCATGACAAAGAGAGAATACAACCACTCTGTATGCTATACGAATGCCGCTCTCCAGCGGGGGTTTTGAAAATTAATCATTTTCAAATTTGAAATACACTTGGAATTGTGTTTCGAAAAACGGGTTTTACAACAGGGAAAGCGGGAAAACGCCGCAAAACAGATGGGCAGCCGCATCGAGTATCGATGCGATATATCGCACGCATATCGCCGCGTCGCACATGCATCAATGCCAGTGTGTGTGTAAGAGCAGCAGGGCGAAACGAGAAAAAAAGCCAACTCCGTTAAGCCGATATTGAATGCCCTACAATACTAAAAAAGTTTTTTTTGATAAACCTTTTCACGAAGTTCTTTTTCATATAAGTTTACCGCAGCTAACCAACCTACTGTAGCTTTTGCTTAATTTTAAATATCGTAACTCCGAAGTTTGTGAATCGCTTAGGAATGACTACAAACTCCTTTGTCTAATCATACACATCACTTAGCTATGTACATATGTAAATATTTTGTAATATAGGATTATGGAGATCTATAAAAAATGATCATACCCTACGCAAGGGTATAATGAGCGAATGGCAGGCACAGAAGAGGCAGAAACAGAAACAGCTAAATTGCAGCTGCTAAGTTGCTCGTCGTTCAGCAACGACGAATAGGGTAAAAACGGCAACAGCGAATGATGGCGGCAAAGGCAAACGAGCGATAGCCGAACTGAGGGGCGTACCTGCGGGGGGATCGAACTTGAGTCGACTGTTAAGTAGGGTTCTTTAGATATCAAGTTGCTGGTCGACCGCTCAGCTTAAACTTGTATCACATGTGTGTATGCAATTCCTAAGCAAGCAGCTGTTTTCGATTTAGTTAATGCTTACAGCAAGAAATATTCTTTAGAATTAAAGTGACCATATATCATAAATATGACCATATATTTAATTACCGTTAATTTCTAAAAAAGTTAAATATGAAATATTACTATACATAAATTAAATTTATTAGCATTCAGTGTAAAATAAAAGCGAATTTTAGATCTGTGAATTCTGTAGCCCTCAAAAAGCTGATTGATATATTTAGATAATATTTAAATCGGCGAATTAAAAGCACTTAACTGCATGTTAGGGCAGCTTTCAAGCAAGCAACAACATATGCAGTTCTATCGGCGTTCGTGCTGAGCCATAAATAATTTCGTTTTGCGCAAACAAGACTGAAACATTCAGCAAACCTGACGCACCCCCTCATGAATAATGGCACAACGACGCCGCTGCCGCTGGCAACTGGCACAACAAAAGCAGCGAACGAGCAGAGACATGTTGGTTGCGCTATAAAGATCTTGAATTCTTGAATACGTGATAACGAAATGGAACACCCGCTGTTACTTGAAGATTTGAAAATCAGTACCGATTTGAGCTTATAGTATTACCTTTGTATCTACTAAACCAAAGTGTATGGCTAAACTTAACTGCATTAAAACCCTGTAAGTCGAAAAAGTTTTAATGCTATTGGGTAGTATAGAAGCTCGAGGTCCATAGCTAGAATTTTTTTTGGTGATAGATGCTTACATATGTACGTATATGTACATATGTACATAAGTTGGACCGTAATAGTTAGCTTTCCCGATCTTGTAAATGCATGAACCCACATAACCCACGTTTATGGCTGCACTTCGTGAAACGGCGAACTGCGCATAAACGTAGTAGCAGAGACGGCGGCAGCGCGCACGGACGTCGCCGGCAAAATGGAACGCTGAGGGGTGCCAGAGAGATACAGATACATTCGGACAGCGAGTGCGGGCGAGATAGAGCGACAACTCCTGTTCCCGGTTCGTGTTCGTCATTCCCATATTCCCATCTCCATTCCCATTCCCGTCACACGAGTTAGCAGCGCAGAGCGCACATCGCACAGCTGCATCCGATCCTTTTTTCGTTGTTGTTTTGGTGGCGTGCTCTTGGCAGTAACGTGAACACCGCACATAACCCCTTTTATTTTATCGGTTGGCAACGACGCCCCTGCAGGCAGAAAGCAGAGGCAGAAGCAGAAACAGAAGAAGAAGCAGCACGGCACGGCACAGCACAGCACGAAGCGAAGCAAGGCAGAGGCAACACAGAAAAACAGCAAAAGCAAAGCATTGGAGTAGTTGTTTGGATGTGGACGGAAAGGAAGACTGGCGGCGACTAACTAAAAGGTATTTGTTGTTCACCCACTCATCTGTGTGCGTGCAGTGAAAAGCTGTTCTCAGCGTTTGCCAAAAAGACAAGAGCCGTGTACGAAAAAATAAAGCATTCGTTTATTTAATGCTCGCGTTCGTATTTTTTCGAAAACCTAGATGAAAAAGAAATTTTCTGCTGCTGCTGTTGCCTCTGTATATAAGTGAGTGCGAGTTTGTGTGTGTTGTTGCTTCTGTGTGTGCGTTTGCCTGGCTCTCTTTGGGTGTGCGAGAGCGTGTGTGTGTGCTTGTGTCCGTCAGTGTGCCTGGCAGCGTGCTTATGTGTGTTGTGTGTGGCAGACCAAAAAGAACCCGACGAACCGAACGACACTGTAAAAATTCGATTTGTGTGTTGTGCACACGGCGGATGAAGCGAGCAGATTTTTGGCAAATAGCGAGCGATTATCGGATTGAGTAAATGCAACAAACAACAGAGGCGGCACAGCAGCAGCGGCAGTATTAACAGTAATCAATCGAAGACCCTCCCGATCCCCGATCCCCCTTTGCATATGTAATCGTAACTGTAAACCTAATTGTGTGCCTCTTCTCTTCTCTTTTCTTCCTCTCTCCTTCGCTGCTTCTACTTCTGCTTCTTCCTGCTCTCTCTCTCTTTCTCTCCGTCTCTCGCTCACTCACCTACTCTCTTGTTCCTCGCCGGGGACCACTCTCAACTCACGAATAGCAGTACATTGACAGGAGCAGCTCGGAACGGACAGGATAAGCAGGATAAAGGTAAAGCGGCAGATAAAAAAACAGCCAGCGATAGATTGATTCGATTTGGCATATATATAGCACACACAAGTATATATATATAGCCAGCCAGCCGGGCAGCCAACTTGCGGAGCAGCCAACATCCTGGTCCCCAAGAAGATACCCAAGATACAGAGATACCCAAGCAACCCACCAATCCACCAATCATTAGCAGGCCACAACGACACATCCGCATCCGCAAAAGATGTCCAACGGCAAGGCGACGGTCTCGTTCTTCGAGAACGGGAGCACCACACAGTTCGAGTATTGCTATCAGCTGTATCCCCAGGTCCTTAAGCTGAAGGCCGAGAAGCGCTGCAAGAAGCCGCAGGAGCTGATTCGCTTGGACCAATGGTATCAGAATGAACTGCCCAAATTGATCAGGGCCCGCGGCAAGGATGCGCACATGGTGTACGATGAGCTCGTCCAGTCGATGAAGTGGAAGCAGACGCGCGGCAAGTTCTATCCGCAGCTATCCTACCTGGTCAAGGTCAACACACCGCGCGCCGTCATCCAGGAAACGAAGAAGGCCTTCCGTAAGCTTCCCAATCTGGAGCAAGCGATCACAGCTTTATCGAACCTCAAGGGCGTCGGCACCACAATGGCCAGTGCCCTGCTGGCGGCCGCTGCCCCCGATTCGGCACCATTCATGGCCGACGAGTGCCTGATGGCCATACCAGAGATCGAGGGCATCGATTACACCACCAAGGAGTACCTCAACTTCGTCAATCACATCCAGGCAACCGTGGAGCGCCTCAATGCAGAGGTGGGCGGGGAGAAGCCGCACTGGTCGCCGCATCGCGTGGAGCTGGCCCTTTGGTCGCACTATGTGGCCAACGATCTCAGTCCCGAGATGCTCGATGATATGCCGCCGCCGGGATCCGGCGCAGCCGCCACTGGCACCGCCTCACTCAGCACAAACGGCAGCAGCAGCAAGGTGCTCGACGGAGACGACACCAACGATGGTGTGGCCGTCGATCTGGATGACGAGAGCCAGGGAGCAGGTAAGGATTGGAGAGGCTCCTTCAGCTGTGGCCAGAATATGCATATATGTGTGTAAAGATGTTTATTCGGTCTCAAATGCGTTTCCATTGAAAGCTTAGTTTATACTTAGGCCATAAATAGGAATTGTTTTCGGGTTCGAACAAATTTTATCGAAATGAGGGAGAGGAAAGGTAGATATTATCAAATGACAGTTTCAAAGTAAATTAAACATGTGTAAGAAAAAAGATCAAGAAAGAACTGAACTAAACGAAGATAATTCACTTTGACTAAAGACATGTTAAAGATTTAAAAATAACAGTTTAAACCTAGATAGAGGCTTGGATTATTAGAAGCTTATAGTTTTTGGCACCTTACCAAAAGTATTTAGACCCCTAATGACTTTTGTGCCACGCCAGATCGCAAACACAGGGCTTCTTTGTGCTATTATTCTGGCCATAGCTCGCCCAGTAAATACATTGACCATTGATGCTTAACCCGATACTTTCTATCCCCAGGCGGTCGCAACACTGCT